AGGGGGGGGAGGGGGGGGAGGGGAGGTCGATTTAAGATAGGTCGAATTCAGCTACGCGAATAGCGTAGCTGAATTCGACCTATCAGAGCCAACTTAACCCGCTGTGAGGACGGTGGCAAAATCGACCTCCACGGCTCCCAGTCGACGGCGCTTACTCCCACCTCCGCTGGTGGAGTAAGAGTGTCGATTCAGGGATCGATTGTCGCGTCTCAGACGAGACGCAATAATTCGATCCCCGAGAGATCGATTTCTACCTGCCGATTCCGGCGGGTAGTGTAGACCTAGCCTTAGTGACGGACCTATGTCCATGACCTCCAGAAATCCTCACAAGAGGGCTAACATGAGAACAGTCAAACATCGGTTGCAAATAGGGACAGAGTTCTTCATTCAGAAAAAGCCAGGGCATATGCTATTTTCTTTCCCAAAAAACAGAGAGAGAGAGATGGTGTGTGTGTGTGGGGAGTGGTGTAGAGACCATGCTGTACCTCAGGGGTTCTCAAACTGGGGGCTGCAAGGTTATTATATGGGGGGTCATGATCTGTCAACCTCCACCCCAAACCCTGCTTTGCCTCCAGCATTTATAATGGTGTTAAAATTAAAAAAAAAAAGTGTTTTTAATTTATAAGGTGGGGGGAAGGGTGGGTTCGCACTCAGAGGCTTGGTATGTGAAAGGGGTCACCAGTACAAAAGTTTGAGAGCCACATTTTCATATTCCAATCTGACCTGTGCACTGCAGTTTCCTTTCTTTCTGGTACAGCTCCAAGGATTTCCCTACCTTTCAGGTTAGTCTCTGCTCCAATGTTTTTAAATAAATAAATAAATAAATAAATTAAATTAAATTAATTAAAAAAAAAATAGGTGGTCCTGATTGCTGCACTGAAGCTGAAGCAATAAGTCTGCAATCCAGACGCACACACAAAATGTGAGGTCCCCAGCTCTTCAGGGGCAACACCCTTTAACTACTGGAAGCTGGGAGGTTACTTGGAATACACCAGGATATTGCCCAAAAATCCTTCACGGGGGCCACATCTTCCATATCAGTTTCTCACTAGGAGGTTCCTAATAAACTTGAGAGCCTCAATCTCCTCTGGCTACCGAAAGCAGGTGCAATGGGGAGGATGTCCTCTACTATAGTGTTTTCCTCAGCCTTCTGTCTTGATTTCACTTTGGGAAAAGTGTGAGCAGCACAAGAGACTTAGAGTTGTCTGAAGACTTAGGAAGGCAGTTGCACTGATTTATGATGGGTTTACATGCAGACAGTTATAAGGACTAAAAGTGTTGTTTTTTGTTTTTGTTTAAAAAAACCTTTCAATTGTACAGAAGTTCCTGGTCCTTAGTCAGAAGTTATGATGCATGGCTTTCTCCATCCACTAGGGAAAGAACTATACCCACCAATGCGTGGGTTTTTCAAACCCAGAAAGCAGGCAATTGATGGTCATGTTTCTGCATAATGAAACTATTAAACAGCTATGTTTAAAAAAATGAAATGAGTGGGGGTTCATGAATAAATGCTGATGCCTCAATTAAAGAGGCACTACATGTTGCAATTAGAAGCAGCACTCGGAGTTTATAAAGGAAGTATATTAAAATTTTGACAGAACCACTATGAATTCTAGATTGTTAAATAAGGCCATGTTCTGCCCTTAAATATATGGTCATTATCCCCACAAACTTCAGTGGGAGTTCCATGCATGTAACTGTTGGCAGAACGTGTCAGAAGGTCAAAAGGTGCATAACTTTCTACTTGTAAAACTGAGGTTGAGAATTATGCATCTGACTCAGTGAATGCCTGGAACACTGTAAACGCACAAAACAGAGAGACAAGGGGATGCTCAGTTTATTTTTGATTCAACTTATACAAGGAAGGATTTTTAAAATAAGTCTCTGTCAATATTTTAACTGGCATTGTCTCTTTTTTGTAAAGAATCCAGGGTCTGCAAAATAGTGACAGACAATACGCACCAAGCAAAGTTTGAGTTTAATATTGGAGAGTTAATTATAACTTGCAACAAGCACTATGAAGATGTGATTTAGTATAATGGATATTCACTGCCCCATTTCTTATATTAAGTTTCCAAACAAAAATT